CAATCCACTCACCTCAGCCTCCCAAAGGCGTGGGATTACAGGCTGAGCCACCGAGCCCGGCAACAGGAGTGATTTTATTCACCATTTCAGCAGTCCTCAGCATTCCACCACTGGTTCTCTCCTGTGGACACAAGGGTGACTCCAGTGGAGAGAGCACCAGGCTTCCAACATCTGTGATTTCTTACTGATTAGTTGAGATGGTCTTTTATAGGGGAAAAGTATATTTAATATTTCACACTAAAGATGTAAAAGTCATGAGGTCTCTTGTGCCATCTGGTCTGAGTTAGGTACAGGACAATAAAGGAGGCAGTTAATCTACAACAAAGATCAGTGATTTAAATGGGGATGTCTGGTGTCTGATCTCTTAGTCATTTATAGAACAGGAACAACGAAGGAAAGCTCATTTATAATCTAAAAAACAAAGTTGCAAACATGTCCCATGATTCAGTCTCCAGGACTTAACTTCCCCCTTGATATAATAAATTTCAGAGGGTCCTAAAATTTTGTTTTCTTTTACATGTCCTAGCCAACAGACATGCCTGGAAAAGCTTCGGCCTCCTCAGGGGCAGCATTAAGACAAGGCAAGCTCCCTCCCCAGAGGCACTGGGGGCCATTCCCTCCGGGAGGGGTGTTCTCAGTTTTCATTGGCAGGACCCCGTCCAGGCCGACCTGGAATGCCTCCTTCCTAGCTCTGACTTCTCCATTGCCCTTTCTACCTTTTTTTGCTCCATGGCTCCAGTTGCTTCCCAAGTCCCAAGCTTGGTCCTCTGCCCTATCAGTACATTATGGGTCACTTTCCCTTCCCTTCTGAACAAGTCTGGAAGGACATCACCTACTTCTGTTCTGAAGCTTCTTCAACATACTAGCTTATCATGAATCCAAATGCCAGAAATACCTGGGACCCTGCCATTTTACTATTGGCATCTCCAGTGATAAACTCACTTTTTTAAAAATTTTGGTGCAATGTAAACAAAATTTTTAAAATTACTTAGGAATTTATCTTTTCAGTAATATAAAATTATTTTCCTTTGGTAATGATACATGCAACTTGACCTATAATGAAACATTTTTTTAAAAAGGGTGTGCATTTAGTGGTAGAGACCAGCAGAAATGTAGACCTTGGCATTTAGCTCTGCCTTCCCTAAGCTGCAAGTTGCAGAAGGCGCTCGCTCCCTTAATCAGTTTGTGACCCATTTATATCACATGGCCACAGTCAATATGAGGACTTACTGTAGCACCAGTTCATCACCACAATAAGTTCTTGGATACAGCTGGTACCTTATTTTGCATGGGATATGCAAAATAAACACATCTGCCTTGTTTCATTTGGTTTTAAATAGCTGTCTTTTAAGAACAAGGGGGAAAGAGCAGTTACAGCAATTCTGAACCTAGATGTCTGTTTACAACTTAATTAGATTTGGGGTGGCAGGGATTGGACCGTCCTCAGGGAGGCTAGGGCGATGAGTCCCTGCATCTGCAAGTCCTTTCTGGGAATTCTGGGAAAGGATTTGGCGAATAAAGGATAATTAGTAACGGGTTGTTCTAGAATAACAGAAGTTAATCAGGCCACAGCTCAAGTAGTGGCAGTTCTTTGAAGACAGTGATTTAGGGTAAGCTGTTGATGATTCTATCAGAAAATTCACCTAACATCGACAAAGATGATAGAGACACTTTCTTGACCAGTGCATTTAGGCCCTTTATGTTAGTTTGCTGGTTGGTCTTGCTCCAGCAAAGTTTAGATTAGATAGGGGAAGATCTTCCTGAGGCCACAGTATAAATGATGAAAAACATTTTACAGAGCAGAAAGGTAGAGTTATCTTTATGGAGCATTTGAGAAGGGGCAGCTTGACTGGGTGACCTTCCCATAATGCCCGTGAGTCTGGGAGCCTGTATGCAACAGACAGCATTCTTTGAAAACACATCTTGGCATATCTCCTTAGGAGCTGTGCAGCCCAAGAAGTGGTCATGCTGAAATCCACATTAAATATTTACCTTACGGATCTTGTTTGTAAATGTCTCTGTCTCCTCTTGATGCAGTCTGGCCGCCTGCACGAGCTGACCCTGTAGTTCCTCTATCGATACACTCTGCTCAGGTAAAACAGGGGGGCCCCTGAGCTGATCAGTGGGATAAAGGAAGGGCTTTAGTGGAAACGAGAACTCTGCCTGAGAGGATAACACAGGACAGACATCTGCACAAGCCGGGGACACACACGGAGTGACACAGCACGTGTGGGCCCTGCACCAGTGGAGTGACTGTGGCGACTTCCTTGGGATTTCTCACAGGGATGACTTGCCACCCAAGCCTGCGTGCTCTGGGCTCCACAGCTCCCTGTGGTACCTGGGGAGAGTCAGCTCCACCTGCCCTGCATTTCTTACCCAGGAGGTAAGGTAGGCAAGCATGTGCTTAGGCCCTGAATTTAACCACCATTATGACCACAATCAGGCAGAGAAGGAAGCCAGGGTACACCAAAGGTGTCCGTGCTCCCACAGGGGCTTCTAGGCTGTTTTGAAACATGCAGGGTGCAGTCAGAGCTTGGTGACTGCAACTGAGTCAAGCATGACAACCTATCAGGTTAGACTCTTAGATTTACTCTCTGGGTCGTATGGGGCCTTCCTAAGTTACATCGTTAATGAATTTATATGCTTTCATTGAAGTTTTTCTTGCCCAACCAAGGGTGCCTTTCTTTAATTCCAGCAGTCTGACTGAATACTCAGCACAAAAGGATAGGGCTCCTTCATTTAGCAGATACACATGGCTTCAGGCCTCTAATTGCACACATTACCTAAGGGAAATCACAAGAGATCTACTTTCTGCATTTAGGTTAAAAACAGGTAGTGGAATCTGTATTATGACTTTTATTAGTACAGTCTACTTGTATGTCCAAATGTCAATGATAGAGCAGGTCATTACTTTTGAAATAAAATGTGTTTTTTAGAGATGGAAACACTGTTATACTAAAACTCTCAGGCATTAAGATTTAAGCATGACATTTTATCCGCTGGTTTATGCTACTTGAAGATTTTCTTTAAAACTGGGAATTAGAATGGATTGTTGCAATAAAAATGTGTCTTTTCACTGGTTTGTTCTGATTCTCTTTAACTAATCTGTTGCTTCTCACTGAGGATACCATTTGCTCTTTATAATTTGATGGTACCTGGGCTGTCATGAGTGGAGATCATTCGCCAAGAAAAGGAAATGCAGGAAAAAAAAAAAAAAGTACAGCACTTTCCTCAGCACAAGAGAAGAAGAGGAAGAGGAAGAGAGATTGAGAAATTCAAGAATGAAAACAAAATCAGAGACTGGGGATTTGCCAACTTTTGGATACAATTTTGAAAGCTAGAGATTTAAACCTCATCCTACTTTCATGAAGCTAAAAATTTGTGAGAGAATTAAATGCTGCTTTGATTTGCTAATTGTTAGAAATTATGATCTTTTAAACGTACTAAAGCAGTATTTGGGTTCTTTTTGAAGTATTTCTCTGAATTGTGAATTTACCCCAATGACTAATTTTTCATTTCTGTTGTTGTTGTTGTTTTTTTTTTTGAGTTGGAGTCTCACTCTGTCGCCCAGACTGGAGTGCAGTGGCCATTCCCAGGCACCGCAGCCTCGACCTGATGGGCTCCGGCGATCCTTCTACCTCAGCCTTCCAAGTAGCCGGAATTACAAGCATGCGCTACCACGCCCGGCTGATTTTTTTGATTTATTGTGGAGATGAGGTCTTGCTGC